ATATGTATAAATGTGCTCCTGTATCCGTATCCTATTTTTTTTTGTCTTTTTCTCGTACTCGTTTCCGCGCACCTGTATTGATGCTACATAGGTCACAAGTCACAACTATACTCACATTTTGACTACTTTTTGCTTGATTTGATGTGAATGAACGTTATATTTGGAAAAGAAAAACAAAATCAATCCTACAATGTGCAAGTCAAATTAAGAACCCCTTTTCAAGGCAGAAGAAGTATAAAATTACTAAATAAACACCCTTATGTTCTTGATTTTTCTTGTGAGAAATTTGCACCTAATAAATGTATATTGAAGCCTTTTGAATATTGGCAATTATTTTATTGTTCGGTGACACCACTGTACACTCCTAAAGAGAAGGTCACGAGTTCGAATTTCATCTCAATTCAAAAAATGTTACATTTAACATAAAACACATATTATAATCGGTTAGAAAACACAAGAAAAAGAGTTTATGAATGTTATAATCAACTATAAGGAATATGTATTAGCTAGATGAAAAGATCACTTCAGTGCCTTGTGATTAAATACATCATGGTTAATTTAAGGTAAATTGTATGGTGCGTTTTTTTTTTACTCTACTGTCATTTTTGATAAAAATTCTTTTTTGATTAAGGACAAAGCCTCAGGGGCGGTGCTTCTCCAAGCTACCAGTAGTGGACCACTCTATCCTCTCAGTCTGACATCATCTTCATCATTAGTTCTAGCTTCTGTGTTAGCGTCTGGCCCTGTGTGGCACCGTAGACTAGACCATTGTGGTGACAATATTTTACAGTTTCGTAAACGCAAACAATTTTTATGTAGTCATTTTCCGTTTACTCATGAGTGTGTGGCTTGTCGTTTAGGAAAATCACAATGTTTGCCCTTTACTCATCATTGTCGTTTACATATGTACTCATCATTGTCGTTTATGTACTCATCATTGTCGTTTACTCGTGGATGCTAGTCATTATTCTTCTTGCCCTTTACAAAGTATTCATTCTGATGTATAACAATCTCCTGTTATTTCTAATTTAGGGTTCAAATATTACATCTGTTTTATTGATGATTACTGTCGTTTTACATGGATTTATCCAATGCACCTTAAGAGTGAAGGTTTTATGCACTTTAAAAATTTTAAAGCTTTGGTTGAAAATCTTTTTAATCAGAAAATTAAAATTGTAAAGTGATGGAGGTGGTGAGTTTGTTAATCATAATATGCAGCAATTTTTCTCAGCTAATGGCATTTATTTTCAAAAATCTTGTCCCGACACACCTCAACAAAATGGAGTTGCTGAGCGCAAACACCGTTATCTCCTCGAATTGACTCACACTATGCTACTCGAGGCATCTGTACCGAGTCAATACTGGGTAGATGCTCTTTTCACTGCTGCATATATTATTAACAGATTACCTTCCCCTACATTAAATGGTTTTTCTCCGTACCGAGAATTATTTCATCGTGTTCCAGATTATTCATTTATGCGAGTCTTTGGCTCGGCATGCTATCCAAATTTTTCAGCCACTTCTGCTAATAAGCTTTCACCCCGCTCTATTCAATGTGTTTTTCTTGGCTATGCATCCGGTTACAAGGGCTATCGCTGTTTTGATCTTATCACAGGTCGCATTTATGTCAGTCGTCATCTTGGTCCAGTTCGTCATCCCAGAACCATACTCCTCCTTCCGACCAACACACCGATGAATCTGATAGTACTCCGTCACCATGCTCCTCTGTTTGTACCACCCACCAACCCGAAACTCCCCAGGCCGCTGTCAGTCCGAACACCACCTACCAGACCGACTGCTCCCAAACCGCTCCCTTCCAGGCCGATTGCTCCCAAACCGTTCCCTTCCAGGCCGACACCATTCCCCTTTTGTCCACACCGATTGTGCCCACTACTGTAGTTAATCAGCACCCAATGCAAACCCGTGCCAAGGCAGGAATTTTTAAGCCTAAAACTATTTTTAATTTGAGTACAGTTGTTCTTCCTGTAATTTTTAGTCTATTGGTATTCACTAATGGTGAAAATGTTGCCGGTAAATCTTAGTTGATATTTATTTCTTTAATGTATCTATTTTTTGGGTTTATGAGGAGCCTAACTTTAAATACCGCTTATTAAAATTAACATACACTACCTTCGTCTCACTAACATTGATACATGAGCAGATGACATGATTATTAAGAAAAGTAGGGTTATGTGACTAATATTGAATTGATAAAGTAAGAATAAAGTAAAAATGATTAAAACCACACAAATTTTACCACATTTAGGGAGTGTTTGCAACTGCTTCTGCTTAAAAAAAAGCACTTTTGGAGATGTAAGGAAAAAGTGATTAGTAGGAAAAGTTGATAGTGTTTGAGAAAAAAGTGATTTTGAAAAGTAAAAGTTGATAGTGTTTTGTAAAATAAGTGCTTTTTGTGTAATAGAAAGGGGAGAAACACTTTACACACGCAAGCCGAGAAAAAGTAAAAATTGGTAGTGTTTGGTAAATAAGTGCTTTTTTAAGCCAAAAGCTGAGAAGTGCTTTTTTTAAGTGATTGCAAACACTCCCTTAGTATGAGACAATCTTAGTAGGATGGATCGAAAAGGAAAGTTGGAACCATCTTAGCGTGACAGAGATGGTATTTTCATTATCATCTCTATAATAATTCAAAAGTAAAATAACACTACTAAAGCGAACCACCAACAAAACATTTATAGATATATGTTAATATATATATATATATAAGTATACAAAAATAGATAAATGTCAATTCTCGAGAGAGAATATTTCACAAAAATACCTTATAAAGTCATAAATACATCAATCACGACGTGACTCTTGGAAATCTTTTTGGACTACTTGCACCTTGACAAACACATCACTTAAGCCTTTGAATGAGCACTTCTAGAAATATGAATGGAATAGCGTCACACATGACATATAAATTAATGAAATGATCTCACACATGACATATAAAATTAATGAAATGATGTCACACATGACATATGACTCGAAGTTTCCTCTATAAGTATCACCCATAGTTCTTGGAGTTTATATCAAAATATACTTAACATAAGTAAATATCTTAATCACTTAGCAAAGAAGACACGATTTGAAAATGGCGCCACTTCACCGTCATTCTAGCAACACATCGACTTTTCTCCTCTTTGGATACCTTTGTTTATGGGGTTTATCATCCACACTATCATCATCATCATCCCAAATATCACCACAAGATTTAGATAAGATAGAATCTTTGCCTGGCCAACCAAACAACCCATCAGTGACGCAATACTCTGGCTACATCACAGTTAATGAGTCTCATGGAAGAGCCCTATTCTATTGGTTCTTTGAGGCACAATCTCAACCCTCAACTAAGCCTCTTGTTCTCTGGCTTAATGGAGGTATATATATTCTATACGAAATACTACGCAAAAATGTAAAATCCCAGCTAGTGGCGGCCCAACAGCCTTTTGTATATAAACGCTAACATTTTCCAACCCTTCCAAAATAAGCTAGGATTTCCTTCACATCTTGTAGAATATATTTAGGTATATTCATATTATTTTTTCAACAAAATTATTCATAATAAGCAAGTGTGGATCTGTGTTTTTCGAGTTGGGACACAAGCCCCTTATAAATAGACATTAATATATCGATAAATCTGTATAGTCAAATTATTTTAGGATGTGTCGCCAATGAAAAATTATCATCTCCGCATGAGTGTTGCTACCCAACTAAAATTTGGAGTGTATGTACACACACACACACACAGAGAGAGAGAGAGAGAGAGAGAGAGAGAGAGAGAGAGAGGAGAGAGAGAGAGAGAGTTTGGATCAAATAAAAAGGTCTTAACGTGTAACGTAAAAATATGGTGGCATAATGTAAACAAGTAAATTCAAAATGTGCTATGCATATTTAAATAAAAAAAGTGCATTGTTTTACAATACGATTTCATTTTGTGTGTCCATAAAAAATTTATCACATAGTTTTGTATATGCACACATTTTTGTGCATCTTTTGATGCACTTTTGCTATTCCCTCTATAGTCCATATCACTATAACAGTCACAAATTTCTTTTCGAGCCGTATCAAATTAATTGTCACATTTTCATTTTCAGAAATAAGTCTATCTCAAAAGCAACTACAATGCACTTAAGTACACAATACTGCTACGATGTCAAAAACCACAAATTCTTTTAAAAGTTTACCGTAAACCTATGGCATTATCCTAAATTACGTGAAAAGTCTAATGTGACACTTGTAATAATGATATGAAGAGAGTATGCATTATCATCAATTTTTTCAATACAATATGATGCACTTTTGTGGTATTGGTTATGTTCAAAGCTTTCCATATTTACAAGTGCTATTGTGTTTTGACAGGTTCAATGCATCAAAGTGACTTGTGATATATAAACTTGACGAATTAGCTCTATGTGATTTACTGTCAAAACCCCCTGCACTATAATTATTCATGCGCAAAATATCCTCCAAGAATAAATTTAAAATTTTGGAACTCACTTGAATTAATCTTATAGTTGAAAATGTAAGTAAGTTTGTCAAGATCTATGAATTCAACAAAAATATTAACCATTTTCCATTTATTGGGCAACTAAATTTGTTCATATAGGGGGTTTTGTGCGTGAATAATAATAACACAGGGTGAGTTAACACATTTTTTAAATCAAGGGCTCTAATTAACACACAACAGTTTTATATATCATTAGGGGGTTTGATGCATTAAACCCATGTTTTGGCTTTAAAAATTTAATTAATTCTTCCATTATATTTAATCAAATTAAAGGTTCAGATTTGCCCTTATTTCCATATAAAAACACTTTTTACTTGATCCAAATTCTATTGGCGTGTGTGTATTATGTGTGGGTAGGTCAAAGTTTTATAATATGCGTGTCAAGTCCAATTTTAAGGTAGATAGGTAATAGGTCAAAGTTTTATAATATGCGTGTGAAGTCCACTTTTAACTTGTTTGACACTTTAAAAAATGTTCACCTCATGTTTGGTGATCGTTAAAGGACCCGGTTGCTCATCAATTGGATATGGAGCTGCTTCAGAGTTGGGTCCTCTTAGAGTTCGGGAGAATGGTACTGGCCTCTGCTTCAACAACTATTCTTGGGATAAAGGTTAATTCTGATTTCGGTCTTTTATTCCTTATGGGTTAGGTGGTGTAGTTGTACATTTGAAATTCTTGTCATTGTTCCGAAGGTAAATATGGAATTTTTTTACAAAAATAATCGCCACTTTTCTTGACTAATTTATGTTTAGTATTTACTATTTACTTTCGATTATATTTCATCGGTATAAAATTCAATCACACATAACCAGCATTATTATTTCATATGTAAGTAAAAATTGACTGTGATACAAGTGACGTTATAATGTTTAAGTAAAAAATTACTTTAAATCATAAAGTAATACAAAATAGCAATTAAAGCGTGTATTTGGTAGGACAACTCGCCAAAATTATACGTAAGTTCTTAAATGAAAATGGTGGAACTTGTCTGTAAAAACTAAACGTAGTATGGAGTATATAGTAGTGTTTGGTAACATCTTTAATGCACCAAACCCCTTGTGATATATGAATTCGGCATATTAGTTCTTTGTGATTTAAAAAATACGTCAAATCCCATGTGTTATAATTATTCATGCGCAAAACCCATTTCAAGAACAAATTGAAAATTTTGGAAATCACTAGTCTTAATACTAGTATTGTGATTGAATATGCTAGTCAATTTGTCAAGATCTTTATGTTATGCAAAAATACTACCTAGTAATTATTTTCCATTTATTGGAAAATTAAACTTGTTCATGGTAGCAGTTTTGATCATGAATAGTTATAATACAAGAGGTTTGACACATTCTTAAATCAAGGGTTAATGTGCCAAATTTATATATCATGAGAGGATTTGGTGCATTAAACTTGTTTGGTAAAATGAGCTAACTACTGTTTTTAGCGTGTATACAAACCTACATGCTAATAGCATCTCATTTGATAGGATAATTTATGTAGTGTAGTGAAGTCCATCTTATGTGACATAGGAGAGAGAGAGAGAGAGATAAGATGAATATTTTAATTTAATATAGAGAGAGTGGTGTGTAGGGAAAAATGAAAAAGAGATGAAAGATAGAAACAAAGTGTAGACAACGTCTGTGACGAATGTTCACACATGAACTTTACACGGGATTCGAAGTAAAAGTGGATAAAAATTATATAGTAAATGAAAACTAAAATAAATATGAATGTATGTATGTTATACACATAAATATCGTGAGACAAAAATGGGACCCAAGTGTAACGGTGTGCAAGAGGACTAGACATCCCCATTGGAGATGCTCTAATTAACGTATAAAAAAAGATGAAGACACAAAAGAGAAGTGTCCCAACATGGATCCAGTGGGGCAACTTTGGTTAGGGATGTTCTGGAAACACAAAACATCAAATTGTGTAAAACTTCTTGTGTACAACTTTGGTTAGGGATGTAATATGTTTTTCCTAAATATGAGTTCTTGCAGTCATGATTGGAAAATGTTGCAATCATTATTACAGTTACATTATTGTATGATAATGTCATAATGTTGTTGTATGATTTAAGAATAACAATAATTAATTTACTCTTGGATCTTGGGGGGGGGGGGGGTAGTACTCATAATGTCAAATTTCATATTGTTTTAACCCCGTTTCGTGAAATTTCTCTATATTATACTTTATTTACATTTTATTTGTTCCTTTTACTATTTACAAGACTATTAGTGGGATGCTCTGATACCACCTGTAACACCACGACCCCATACGGCCTGAGGTCGTTATTCCGGAATGACATCCAGATTGAGTACCGTTCTTACAAACCAACACAAACCTTTTACCGCACACTTTTTCCTCACTCATGCGTGTCCTGAGAAACTTCTCAGGGGCCACTCATCCCAAGAGTACTCTTGTGCGAGCATGCTTAACTTAAAGCTAGGGTTGTAAATGAACCGAATCAAGTCGAATAATATGTTATTGTATTCGTATTTGCTTAATTTTTTTCTAACACAAATCTGAATTCAAATATGAAACGAATATTAATTTCGATTTGTATTTGTATTGGTTGAGCCATACAAATAGTTAACTAATTATATACGAATAACGAATCGATTTGATCATAAATTATATATTAGTCAAATATTACTTTAAAACAATTTTTCTTATATTTTTTTTTAAGTTATAAATTCATGCTATGACTTAATATGTGCTTTTTAAAATCTAATTTATAATATTACCTTTCTCTTAAAAATTTAATAGATCGATGCGTTTTTAGCCTTTTAGGTTGTGTACAATATACTAAAGTGAATCAATTTTATGATTTTTTTATGGTATGAATCAATTTTATGATTAATATACATAAATCTATTTCAATGTTTTTGAAATAAACACTAACAGACACATATTGTAATTGAAATTATACATACACAGTTTGAATTGAATCAGAATTATTTGCTTCATTTACAACCATTACTCTGTATGATATTTCCGATTTATTATAAACGAGTTTAGAATGTGTATAGGTAAATGTTATTATTACTATTGTTATTACTAATATTATTATCATATTATGCTATTATAACTATTATTTAACCGAATATATTTGATTAACATTCGAATCAAATATGCTGATATTCTTATTTGTATTTGCTAACAATTCGAATCAAATCTAGTATTCTAATTGGGGTGGCTGGAAAGAATTGATTAATTATTAATTGATTAATTATAAAAATGGATCATCACAATAATAATAAATGTAATATGTAGTATTGAATAAGGTCATAAATGATATGGTAAATGAGTAAATCATATTTTGAAAACATTCCAAACAAGTCACATTTTTGTCTTTTAAATCTATTTTAGCAATATTGATAGAAGAAGACTTATCAAGTTTAACATGGAAACTTACGAAGTAAAAAATGGACTAGTTCATGTTATCTACTAGTGTATGTAGCCCAAATTGACATTGTAAGGATACATGGACTGCAATTTGCTGATCTAGTCTGCTCTAGTAAATGACTGGTCTCTATGTATTTTATAACTGGTCTCTATGCTAGGTCCGTAACAATCGGCATCCGAGCCATCCCCATCTTCCTAGTCCTGACACTCGGAGTGGTTGCCTATGGAGTGGTGGCTTGGGCCCTGGGGTGCCAACCGTGACCAACGAGGACGTTGGCTCTTCGAAGCGTGGAGTATTATAATGATCCCACACCAGTCAAGTATGGGTTTGACCGGTGCCTTATAAGTAAGGTGTTCCATCCTCTTAATGGGTTGGTCTTTTGGGAGTGGGTTCTACACCTGGGCTTATGGCTTTGGTATGGGCCTAGTATGGGCTAGGTCCGTAACATCATTCTTCGAATCTTGATAGCGGCTAGTTGTTCTCCATCGTTCTCCATTTCTCCGGTTGTCCAGTCCTTCAAGTTTTGCCGGTTCTCCGTGACTCCGTCGATTCTCCGATCTTTGGCTCTTCTCCGTCGGTTCTCGACTTCTTGCTCGACTACTCTGTTCTAATTTTGGGTATTTAGAATTCCTCAATTTCCCGGTTTCAAAATAGGAAGTATTCGGTATTATGTTAGGGGCATGAATTATCTTATTTTATTTGGGCTTACTAGAGTTGGGGGCATTTTTTTATTGGGGGCATTAATATGGGCGGAAGTTTTTCCTATTTTAATATAAGAGATAATTAACAGCTTGTTGGGGACAGCTGACCCCCCCCCCCCACCTAGGCTTTGCATCCCCCCTGGTTGTTAATGGTGGGTAGCAAAGATCTAAAGGAGTCACTGCTGACCTTGGTGGCGCGCAGAACCTCAAGCGGGTTAGTGGCGGGGCTGCTAAAGTTTTAGTGACATCATATATGGCGCTAGCTAGGGGTTGAATGACGTCGTTGCGACGAGTACGGATCAAACAACGTCATGGACAGCTAGGGTTTCAGTGACGTTGTGGCGGGGCTCCCGTGACTAAGGTTGTGATGGATTTTTGTGGTGACGCGAGAAAGTGAGTCACTAAGCGTCGGGGAAGTTTGTCACTAAGCGTAAGTGAAGTGAGTCACTAAACGTCTTGAAAGTGAGTCACTAAGTGGCGGCTAGGGTTTTAGTGACTTCATGGCAGTAACGACAGTTGTGGTGGTTTTTGGGGTGGCTAGCTAGAAGGCATTAATTAATTATTAATTAGAAAATGGAATATCACAATAATAAATGTAACATTAAATAAGAGCATAAATTATATGGCAAATCATATTTTTGGGAAACTAATAAACAAGCCACAATTTAGTGTTTTATATTTAATTTAGTAATATTTATAAAAAAAGGTCATAAGTATATCGCCATGGCACCCACTCAGAATAAGTTTGATCAATATTCTCACATTTTATTGCATAATTCTATAGTATCAACTCATTTTAAGAAGTAAACTTAACAATTTGAAATAATTACATGAATATGACCAAAATAAAGATGATTTACAAAAAATGACTAGTTACTAGAGTAGTAATGAAATCATAGTAATTCATGTTCAAGTTTTGAACTTAAGTTACTACAACACCACGTTGTAGTAATGAATAGTCATATTTATGTAAATAAGTTTTATTTTGGTAATATTCTTGTAAAAAACTCTAACAATTTTAAGAACTAACTACTTTGTATTGTAGGTTAGAGAACTTATCTGGTCAGGCGCGCCTGACCACAACCGCCGTGCGGACTTGCCTGTTTGGGGCGGTTTCCAGTGGAATTTGTTGATGAAAATTTTTGAGCATGTTCCTGATCAAGTCTAGTTTATCCATACCAAATTTCAGCTCAAAATTCGACCGGGAAGGCAGTCAAATAAATTCTTGAAACTTACTGCACATTCTGCGCATATATAAAGTGCAGTAAGTTTCAAGAATTTATTTGACTGCCTTCCCGGTCGAATTCTGAGCTGAAATTTGGTATGGATAAACTAGATTTGATGAAGAACATGCTCAAAAAATTTCATTAAAAAATTCCACCAAGAATCGCCCCAAACGGGCAAGTCCGCACGGCGGTTCTGGACAGGCGCGCCTGACCAGATAAGTACTCTGGTAGGTTATGCGTCAGCCGTACATCTTTACAATTGTGAAAACCAAGATACTAAATGGATTATCATATTATTAATATAATCTTTCGTGTATGTATAATACAAATTTTAATTTAGATTTATTCTACAAACCTTTATAACGAAGTATAGTAGTTGTCCTTAAGATGATGGTGGTAGATTAGTTGGAATATACTCCACCATTTATTTTTCTTTTTTATGGCGGCTCAAACTCCAACTCTTTAATTTTTGCACGCTAAATATCGCAATCTAATTTCCGCACTTTAAATATCACAATTTAATTTAATCCCACAATTATATTTTTATTTTGGATCCCAAATTAAACTTGTTGGCTTTATCTGCTTGGGAGACAGTGAGAGTATAACTTTGTAATTTATTGCAGAAGCCAATTTGTTATTTGTCGAGTCTCCTGTAGGGGTTGGGTTCTCATTCACAAACACATCCTCTGATTTGAATGGACTCAATGACGAATTCGTTGGTAAAACCGCTACTCTTGGAAAAAATGGAAATAACTTTATACATATACTCAAATTAAAAGTATTACTATTGTTTTATTGTTGTTATTTTTCACTATAAACAATGCTCTAATGTGATACTATATATATAGCTCAGGATTCCTACAACTTCTTGGTTAATTGGATGGAGAGATTCCCACAATTCAAGTATCGTGACTTCTTCATAGCAGGAGAGAGTTACGCAGGTTTCGCATACCTATATCTAATCTAATCTAACAACAATATAATTATGAATGGGAGTTGGTATCCCTGAATTGTGTCAACACACTCAGTGCATAAGATGTTGTACATTGTTATTAGAAGGTAGAACCCTATTTTTTCATTTGGCTGCTTTATCCTTACGGTCCCGTTAGTTTCAATTAACTCCCGTTAACTCAATTTTATGTCTTATCTATCTCATTTAACATTAGCTAGCTATACTTGGTTCCTAAACGGCGAAGCCCATGCCTATGTGGCCATGCATTAGTAACACCTATATATAAAAGGTGGCATTAGGAGCTATATAGCCATCAGGCCATACTTACAATTATCCGTTCATTTAACACCCGCCTATCTAGTCATACTTATAATTATAGTTATTTTTGGACAAAATATATTCGAGCCAAGACACTGGGCAGGATTGAACCGGTACAAAGATTTTTTTGAGAACATTTTTACACGGAATATTTTACACTAAAAATACAAACATTTTTTAAATTTTGGTTGGGCCAAGGCCAGGGTTGGCCCCTCCCTAACCACGCCCCTGAATATATTGTTACAATTACGGAGTATAGTTCAATATAAGAAATGTTTCACCTGTGTACTAACATACACAAATTTTTCTATCAAAGGTTGATGCTACATAGCTAAATACATGACTTAAATGTAATCTTTTATTACTTCGAACACATATTATTACAACCTTGTAAGGAATGTGAAATATTTATTGCTCATAAAACTGGTTTGTGCACAACTATATGCATTTGGATGATATTTATCTCAAAATTCTTAATGTATTTCTAAAATATTGATTAATGATGAACCATATTTTCCACACAATAATTGATTGACATAGAGTATAATTATTCTGACAACTTTTAAAATATACGTAATACTGTATATGATACGTAAAATTTCATTAACTATTTACAAAACTCTCATAACAGTTTTGAATATAACACTTTTTTATAAAAGAAAACACTATTTTAATATTGCGCAAACACTCTCGAGCCTTGTGCGAGTAATCGCTAGTACGAAGTACATAAATATGATTATTTACTTGCCTCATAATTTCTTGTTGAGAAAATGGCCCAAATAGAACTAAAATATGGTGAAAGTGCAAAAGCTGAACCATGACTTTTGGTGTCTCAGGTTGGAGAAAAAGTAAAAATAAATGTCAAAATTGCTTTTATTTAAAAAACGGACCCATAACCGGTCACCCAAAAACAAAAATGCCATCATGATCACATCATTCAAGCATTCATCTATTTTGATGTCAAATTACCAACTTAACGGAATCAAGTCAAAGTGCATCATCAAACACCAATGCACCCTCATAATAAAATAAAGGGGAAAAGGGGCAAATAGGCCTCGAACTAACCAAAAAACTGCAAATAAGCCCTTATATAGGAGACTCTGTCCGGCCATCGTCATTTGGGAAGGTTCCCGGTGGAATTTTTTGATGAAATGTTTTGAGCATCTTCTTCCTTAAGTCTAGTTTAGCCATACCAAATTTCAGCTAAAAATTCAACCGGGAAGGCAGTCAAATGATTTTCTGAAATATTTATCTGAACAGTTATCATCAAAAAATTCAACAGTTATATTCAACCGGGAAGGCAATCAAATTGTTTAACTGCGCAGTTATCATCAAAACTTCATTTGACTGTCTTCCTGATTGAATATTTATCTGAAATTTGATATGGCTAAACTAGGCTTAATGAATAACATGCTAAAAAAATCATCAAAAAATTCTTCCGGGAACCTTCTCAAATGGCGACGGCCGAACAGAACCTTCCCAAAAGTCATCTTGATCGATATTTTATTGACATGATGAATGATTGAAAATGCGAGTAAAATTTCATCTTAACTACTCATCAAAATGCTATCTTGATTTCCATTGTACAAAAAATGTCATCTGGATAGTACAAAATTACAAATGAATTACCTTAAACATGGATAGTAAAAAATGTCATACATGGGCAGTAAAAAATGTCATATCGACTATTAATGGAAGTATCATCCCGATTGTTAATGTACAAAGAAATGTCATCTCGGTTGTAACACATAAGTAACTTGAACAAGGGTATGTTATATTGTACACAATATGACAAACTCTAAATACGTAAGTCCTAAAATGGGAATAATACATATATAGCAAATTAGCAACGACTACTTTCTCTCTACGGTAAACCTTATGACGTGGAAAAGCAATACAAATCGCTAACTAGTAAATACCGGGTGAGTTTAAAGAAATAATGGCAAGAATAATACTACTGGACTTCCGTTAGACAAAAATAGGACTAACTCTTAATCTAGACAAAAAAGAGGTTAATTAAATCTGAACGGACAAATACACCCTCACGTAAATACAAAACAGAACCCGAATCCCTAATCTTCTTTCCTTCTTCGTCGTGCCTCCCTCGGTTGCAGCCAAAGAGAATTTTGCCGCAGCATTCCTTCTTCGTACCTTGTCTGCTGCAACCAAAGGAAAATCCGCCACACCACAATCGGTGATCAATAACATCGCTGCTGCCAAGGCCATTATCGTCGCCGCTAAGGCCATTATCGCCGCCGTTGGTTGCTAATCGAACGATTGGATCTACTCTTCATTGTGTTCTTCTCCTTTCTTCTACCGGACGATTTGCAATCCTTCAATCGATCGGTGAGGGCTGTCGGGCGATGGCAGCTGCGTGCCCGAGATGGAGCGACGAGGAAAGTGGTTGGGGATGGTGGCTTGGCTAGTGCAGAAACTTGGAGATGCGGAAGGGATGATGGCAGCTGCGTGCCCGGTGGGATATCGGGGCCAGGGGAAGGGGCTGGGTTGGTTGGGATCGGAGGGGGGTTGGTGGTGGGCTGGAGAGGGACTGAGGGTGGTAGGGGTGGGAAGTGTTGTTAGATACCGACTCTGCAGGCGTTGGGGGTGGCCGGCAGACGGTGGTGGGGGAGGCTAGAGAGAGGGTTGGGGTTGGCGCTTGAGACGGGTTAGGTAGCTGGTCACAGGAGATTGGTCACTGACTTGGCGTTTGGTCACTGTTGGTTCGCGGCAGGGCACCGGCGGCGGCGGTGAACCGGGGCACAGTGGCTAGTGTGACGCCCGACGTCGGCTGGTGTTGAAAATTTTGTCACTGACGGGTGTTGGGCGGGTGTAACTGTAACTGCTCAGCGGTGGTCATTGGACGGTGGTCACTGAACAAGAGTCACTGTCGAAATTGGTCATTGGGCGGGAGTCATAATTTATCAAAGTTTTTGCTAGAGCGTTAGTAACTGGGATGATAGTCACTGAAGCGATAGTAACTGGGACGATGATCATTAGAGCGATGGTAACTGGGACAGTGATTGAAGTGGTAGTAACTGAAACGGTGGTCGCTGAAACAATAGTAACTGAGATGATGTAACTGGAGCATTAATAGTAATTGAAGCGATAGTGACTGAAACGATAGTAACTGGAGAGTTGATCACTAGAACAGTTGTTACGCAATTTTCATACCTTAATACGGAGTATTATCTTCATAAATAATATTAAAATAAAAAGACACAAATTGTCATAGACTTGATACTCGGTAAAAAACAGTTTCCAGAGGTTCAATGTTACCGATTGTTAGTGTGAAAAAACGAAAACTTTAATGTGAGAGTGCATTGCTATGGCTTAGTGTCTTACGGACTTGATTATTAGTTAGTGACGTACAGTGAAAAATTAGGAAGGAAGGGCAAATTAGTAAAGAAATTGATAATTAGTCACATTTTCGGAAATTAAGTAAAAAGGTCTCTTTTTTGTCTATTGTCTATTTTCTTAGTAATATCTATGTCAAAACCCCGAGTTTAAACCAAGTATAGCTAGCCATATAGATCCCAAACTAACAAGATAAACTTAGCTAAACTCCCAATCACCCTTACAAAACTAGCAACACAAACTTCAATGAAAAAACTGAAAGCAAAACAAAACGCAAGAATAGAACAATGCAATTAAAAGATAACTTAAAAAAAAAAAAAGCAATTAAAAGATAACTTCCGATATGAATTGCGCCTAACAAACTGCAATATTCTATCATATCCCCGAATCCTCCATGCCAGCTTTTCTTTCGTGTGGTGGTCCTAGTAAAACTTGCCCCAGAACCACAAGAAGAAGTTAGACTTCATAGACCTGTCGAGACTAACACGGAGCTCTCGCCTGCATCTTATTTTTTTTTAGGAACGGACGCTTCTAAGTTCTACCTCACCTTCAACCAAACAGCCCCCACCTGTTTTCCGAAATCCAGCTTCTTCTCCCCAGCCTATCGGACTTCAAATCTGTACCCCTAGATAACTGGAATCTCACGTTTTTAAAAATTTGTTAATCTAAAAATGGTTAATGAAAATGCCCACCCCTAGATAGCACGCCAATAAATAAGGGAACAATATTTCTTTACTACTTAAAATATTATATTATTGAATTATTTTTATTTCTGGTTTATTAACAACAACAATTGCATTGGTTAAAAAAATTGCAGGACACTATGTTCCCCAATTAGCCAAGGTCATTGTTGAACGAAACAAGGATAACAAAACGTATGGGCACATAAATCTCAAGGGTTTCATAGTATGTGTTTCCATAACATTCTAAATTCATGCTGATCTGATCATTAAATTCAATATTCTTAGCACGTAACCGATTTGTATTAAGTTTCTTAATTAAAACATGCAGGTGGGGAACCCAGAAACAGACGATTATTATGATTATAAAGGCCAATTAGAATATGCATGGAGTCATACAGTAATATCAGATGAAGAGTATGATGTTGCTAAACGAGTATGCGACTTTAGGAGGGTTTACTGGTCCGATGACTGCAATAAGGCCATGTCTCTTGTATTCACAAAGTTTAAAGAAATTGATATCTATAACATCTATGCTCCTAAGTGTCTTCTCAATGATTCATCCTCTGGAGCCGGTACCAATAATCCCACGTTGAAGAAGGTGAATCCCGCATAAAATTAATTAGACGTTACATATATGCACATGCCAAGGTTCTTGTTTGTTTGCTCTATATATTTATTAAATCTTAAACAGGAGCGTAGCCAGGGCACTACTCTACACTAAGAATGGATAAATATATTTTTTACACGATTTTTTTACACACTAATCTTAAACAAGTTTTTTACAAAATGCTTCCCTCATTTGAAACAATCTAGTATAAAGGATCAAATAAAAACACCTCCTAATTTACAAACTATAAAC